CAAAGCTCCACCGAAGCAAGTTCTATGCCATACAGTTGAATCCTGCACAGCAATTCCTCTGCTATAGTCACAGTTGGTCCTCACAGCCAATATGCCTGGGTGTCAATCCCTCACAGTGACAGCAAAAGCAATCAAGGCTCAACTACACCAGGACAGTGCACACAGCCCACACAGGGGCACACCGAGAGCACCCAGCTTGGGTGACTGAGGAGGCTGCACCACTGGATCCTACAGGACACCTTCTATAAAAGGCCACTCTACTAAGTCAGGAGATACAGAAGTCTTACTACATAGAAACAAACATAAGGAAGAAGCCAAAATGCAGAGATAAAGAAACAGGTCCCAAATGAAAAAACAGGAGAAATCTCCAGGAAAAAATTAAATGAAATGGACAGGGCCAGCAAATTACCAGATATAGAGTTCAAAAAAATGGTTATAAGGATGTTTAAGGAACTTACTGAGAACTTCAACAGCATAAAAAATGGACACAGAAACCATAAAAAAGAACTAGTCATAAATGAACAATACACTAAGTGAAATGAAGAATAATATAGGAACATCAAAAGTAGAGTAGATGAAGCCAAAAGCAAATTGGCAATTTGGAATATAAAGAATCAAAAAGCATACAGTCAGAACAGCAAAAAGAAAAAAGAACCCCCAAAATATAGTGTAAGGAGCCTCTGGGATGACAAGCGTACTATGGGGGTACCAGAAGGAGAAGAGCGAGAGTAAGAAATTGAAAATCTATTTGAAAAAATAGTGACAGAAAACTTCCCTAACCTGCTGAAGACATATAAGTCCAGGAAGCATAGAGAGTCCCAAACAAGATACAGTAGTCTTACTACAGAGGCCTACACAAAAACACATTACAATTAAAAATCAAAAGGTTAAAGACAACGAGAAAACCTTAAAAGCAGCAAGAGAAAGGCAAGGGAAGTCCCATAAGACTGTTAGCTGGTTTCTAAACAGAAGCTTTGCAGGCCAGAAGGAAGTGGCATGAAATATTGAAAGTAATGAATAGCAAGGACCTACAACCAACATTACTTTACCCAGCAAAGCTATTATTTAGAATTGAAGGTCAGATAAAGAGCTTCCCAGACAAGAAAAAGCTAAAGGAGTTCATCACCGCCATGAAATGTTAAAGGGTCTTCTTTAAGAAGAACAAGAAAGAAAGAAAAAGATAAAATATATGAATAATAAAATGCCAATAAATACATATCTATTAACAATGTAATTTAAATAAATAAATAAATAAGCAAGCAGAACAGAAACAGACTCGTAGATATAGAGAACATTTTGACAGTTGCCAGATGGAAGGGGGTTAAAGGGATGGTTGAAAAAGGTGAGGGGGTGGAAAAGTACAAATTCATTGTTATAGAATAGTCATGAGGATGTAAAGAACAGCATGGGGAATATAGTCAATAATATTCTAATAACTACTTATGGTTTCAGATGGGTATGAGATTTATCAGGATGACCATTCAGTAAGTTATATAATGTCCAATCACTAGGGTATACACCTGAAACTAATATATCATATGTCAATGGTAATTGAAAAAATAAATTGTTGAAAAAGAACTGCCATTTCTAATTGTTAATACATGGAAGACATGAGTTGAAAGGAATGAGAAATTACAATGAATATGTAAATATATTTAATACAAAAGTCATTTTAAAAGAGTCCTCAAGAAAGCATGTGGAGCCATCTTGATAAAAAGTGATGGGAATATTCCATTTCTAATATTATTATATTTCAATTTCACAATGCTCTTCCAAATGCAAATAATTCATACTTTGTCTTTTGTCCCTGTGGGAAATTTTCCATAGCAGCAATGACTAAAGTGCTGTCCTAAATGGGGACATTTGTTTAGGCCTCACATTTGTATTTCCTCCACTCTGCTCCAGGAAACTGCTACACTTGGAGTGTATCTCCAGACAGAATTTCAGGAATGGTCATCTCTAATGTTGGAAGCAGGATTAGGATGACTGCTGGATGCGCTACTTCCTGACTCTGCTTCTGTCATAGGTGGCAGGACAAGAGGATTTGTGTCACAGATGAAAAAGTAAGGCCGGAGAACACCATTGAACAGTTGGCTGAATGTGTAGATGTAAGACCCATTTGTGATGTCATAAAAGGAGATTTCACCTGCTTCATAGTCCAAGAAAATCCCAATGCGACGAGGCCTCTCTAGGTGGAGGAGAGGCACGGATGGGGAGGCAAGGACCATGTACTCATTCTCTTTCAGCAGCCACATGGCCCACACTCCGTTCTCGGGAGATGGTGTCGTTTCCCCCTTTCTTGGCACTGTGTCTTGAGAGACTCCTAAACCCCACTCTGCCCTTTCTCCCACCATGACTTCCCAGTAATGCCTTCCTGATGAGAAGTTCTGCAGACCCAGGATGCAGGGCCACGTGTCAAATCGCTCAGGGTTGTTGGGGACATCCCTCCACAGTTCTCCGTCCTGCACACTGCGCAGGTCAGCAGTCAAGAGGAGGCTAGGATGCGCTGTGGCCGGGTCCAGCTTTACATCAACTGTGGAAAAAATTTTGTAGGAGATGGAAAAAGCTGGTAAACACATAGGAATCCATTATACCAAAGACAATAATCACATCATTCCTCATTCTCTAACAACTGCTAGAGGAAGCACAGTAAGTATTTCATCTCGCAGGTCACTGAGAATATTCTTCATTACATTTGAGTGTATTCCACTGCTACTCTGAATCCAGGGCTCATTATTGCCCCATTGAAAACATAACCACTGATGCTATAACAAAACATGTGCATAACCACTTAGCATCCTTTTCTCTACACCCAAAGCACTTGGGTGCTCTTCGGAATATCTTTGTGAATTTAAAATAAAATTTAAAAACTACTTGGAATATATAAAATTTCTTCTAAGAAACTATAAGAAAGTTTAATATAAAAATCATCACTTTCAAAGCTATGTTAGGTGGAATTCCGAGGTAGAACCCATGACCTCCATACTCTGGTGATACTCAAGAGGGAGATTATCTGGGTGGGCCCAATATAACCACATCAACCTCTTAAAAATCAGAGCGGCTGCTCTGGATCCTGGGCTCCTGCCAGAAAAAGGCAGAGATATTTGCATCTGATCTGGCTTTGCTGGCTTTGAAGATGGAGGGGCACCCCATGAGGAGAAAGGCAGTTGACCTCCAACTGGCAGTCAGCAAGGACATGGGGATCTCAGCCCTATAGCTGCCCAGAAATGCATTATGCTAAGACCCTAAGGAAGGCTGGAAGATATCCTTCCCAGATCTTTCACAGAAGCCTTGCCTGGCCAACAACTTGATTTTGATCTTGTGAAACCTTAAGCAGAGAAGCCAGCTCACCCCATCTGGAAGTCTTATCTGCAGAACCTTGAGCTAATAAATGCATGTGGCTTTAAGTAACTAAGTCTGGGCAGCAATAGGACACAAATACTGACACTGGGAAGTCCCAATGAGACTGATGTGAAATTTTACTTGTACACATAATAAGCAAATCTACATATGAAATCTCGGTGAAGAAATAAGCATGTAAAATATTCAGTGTTTTCTCTTTATAAATAATTAAAAATGAATTTCATTAATATAGTTTTATTTTTAATATCACAATTAACAAATATTACGACTATGATTGCTATTCTTTGTCTCTAAGTCACTAATAGTGATTTTTTAAAATACTCACACCTGAGTGTGTCACACAGGTAGCATACCATCTAGTTGACCCATGAAACCACCTCCAGGTGGCCATTATCATCCCCACGTTACGATGACAAGACTCAGTCAAAGACTTCATGTGATTATTTTCTCAAACTCTCAAAACTATAAATAGCAGGGCTTGAAAGTGGGTCCCGTGGCTATTTAAC